AGTTCTCCTACGGGACTACTATGAGTATGAAGGATGGTTACGAATTCTGATGATATTGGGACTACAGGTTGAGGACTACATGGGGGCTGTCTCTTATACACATCTAGATGTGTATAAGAGACAGGGGGAAGGTCAGAGTCGGGGCAGTGGGAGTGGGGCAGGAAGGTGGGGGGAGACGCGAGCGGGAGCGGAGAGTCAGGACGTAATTGAGGGGAGAGGAGGGGGTCGAGATCGGAGTTGGGGGGTGAGTCGGGGTAAGATCGGGGAAAGTCGGGATCAGGGGGCGGGGAGGAGAGCGGGAGGAGGAGGACGTGCTGACGTGGCAGGAGGTCGCCCGTCCAGGTGTCAATGATCCTTCCGCAGGTTCACCTCCGGGAACCTTGTTACGACTTCTCCTTCCTCTAAATGATAAGGTTCGATGAACTTCGCACAGCACTATCAGCGGCAGATTGTCGGGATTGCCGCAATCCAGACACTTTGTCAGGGCCAAAGGGGGTGGTGGACAGTGGACGAGCGTTAGCACAAGCAGCATTCAGTCGACGTCGGACGAGTGGAGGGGAGCAGGAGCAGCTGGGGTAGCGCCGAGAAGAAGTCGCCAGCTTGGAAGAAGAACGTACCTGGTCAGGTGCAGCTGTCGAGACGAACTTGGACATAGCTTTCCGTGGTGTCGAGATAGCGGGGGAGGGAGGGAGGGAGGGAGGGAGGGAGGGAGGGAGCAGAGGTCCCAAACTCCGCTCCGATACCAATGTGACGCCCGTGAAGGGGGCACGTGCGGAGATGGTGAGAGAGAGAGAGAGAGAGGGAGGAGATGGACACACACGAGAAGCAGCAGCTGAGTGTCGTGGTCTGACTGAATGAAAGAATCAACCAACCAAAGAGAGTCCAACCCCCGACCTGGGCCTAGACCGAAGTGATATACCGGCCTAGGTCCAGGTACTGGGAAAACCAGTGGTGCCGGACCAGAATCAGGTCGACGGCCTGAAACTGGACCGGCCTAGCTGCCGGACCTCAGGGGGCCGCTACAACCAGTCAAAGCCAGGCCCAGGTCAAGTCAACGAAGGCCAAGTGAAGTCCAGGCCCAGTCCAGTCAACATAAAAGGGCTGGCTCAGCGCCGTTCAGACAGAATGTTCACTCGTGAGAAGGTGGAAGCGCTGTTGGCTGCTTGTGCACTATCACGAGTTGACTGAGCGCCAGGGAGCCCTGCTGGGTTGTGCTAAGCTGTGGAAGACAGGCGGCCATAGCCAGGGTAGTAGTAGTAGATCTCAGGTAGGAAGGCGGATGTATCCAGGGAATGATCCTCATAGTAGAGAGAGAGAGAGAGAGAGAGAGAGAGAGAGAGAGAGAGAGAGAGCTGTCTCTTATACACATCTAGATGTGTATAAGAGACAGGCAGTAATCCGTTGAAGAAGCCAATGTGCCAATCTTTCTCTATTAGCTTTCATTCGTTTACACCTTTTTTAACGACGACACCATGGTAGTGAAGT